AGAGTCCTGGGCCAGGTTGTTAAAAGCTGAGTTAAGATAACCCAGAATTAGTGCAATAGAGAAATTATCCTGGGAAATGCCTTCTGAAGGACAATTATTTTATGTACTATAATAAAGACAAGACACCTGGTTGTTCATGTTGGATTAAAAGTAAAAAAGAAATGTTTTTGTTAGTCATCATGAATTTGAGAGACCTTTTTCCTGGGAACCTTGTAGCAAAAAAGAGTGATACAAAAATACTGTAAACTTAAAAATTAATAATATTCGGGGCAGTCACTGAGGGCTGTGGGCTGGGGATTCCCCCTTCCTTCTCCCTGTGCCCAACTACTATAACTAGCATAGAACTGAAATATCTTACTAGTTGTTCAATTCCCTGCCTTATACATTATTTGTTAAAATTTTTCATTGCCCAGCAACCGGTGGTGACTTCTCTGAATATTGCATTCAACATTTAATTTGTTAATGTTGGATTACAAGTAAAAAAAAAATTGTTAGTCATCACGAATTTCAGTTGCCTTATTAAGTTGGATACAGTAATATTTCGAACTGTTCTACGATAGTCCAGGTACAAAGGACGATCTTCAGGTAAATAGTACTTTCACAGTAAAGCCAAGACTGTCATCCATAATAATTTCCAAACGTGGCAGAACGTACGGATGCACGGTTTTCTTCAGCACAATTTTGTCCTCAAAGATCTTCAGGCTCCAATCACCAAGGCTTTTTAGGCTTTTAACTCGTTGGCAGAGCTCTGAAAATCCCTTGTAGCAGCTGTGTGGTAAAGGCCCCTCGTTAAATTTTACAACCGAACGTTCAGGACGTGGTGAAGGCTTGCTGCTTTCATGACTTTTCTTAGGCATGTTCAGCTTCGGCAAAGCTCCAAATTTGGGCTTATTTTTGGTCATTTTCGCAGATTGATCTATCAAAGAAAAGATAAAATTGTCAAACTTGGAAATAGTCAAACCTAAAACCATATCCACTTTCAGAACGAACTTCAAACGGCAGCAACACTGATCGGTGAAAACTAACTCAAAGCAAATCCGACAATTAAACAAGAAAATACAGATATGTACTTACATATTTCGATATCTTCGGGCGCAAAATGTTTCTCACAGGTATATATTCTATCGCTCTTCAACTGTTCCCTGAAGTTCTGGTCAATTTCTCTTGTCTTTTTTATCTCACCAAGCCATTCGTCTCACCATGTTCCATGAGCTTCGTCTTTTGCCACAGGCAACTTCCAAATACCAATTCCCTTCGTTCTTCTGCACGAACCACAGCCAAATACTGAGCAATTAGCCCCTGGCATAACTTCTATATTTCTTGCAAAATGACAACCATATACTGATGAAAATTACGGAGAAACCTAACAAATATCGCACAACTAACAAGAAACTACTCAACGGACGCCATGATCGTTTGATAAATGTGCACTGTCGCGATCACGTGACAAGGCAAAAATCAAAACAAAGACATCGGTCTCTGAAGCTCGCCGACTTTCATACCCAGTCTCCTCTACTAACTATGCTCAGGTGCGGGTAGGATGCAGTTGATCTCTATTTCGAAAGACTTGTTTGACGTTTGTGAGCGGACGATTCTAGCCAAGGTAAAGTCATTCGTTTACCATATGCATACTTTTCACTTGATTCATGTTATTAGTCGAGAAGGACTTGTCTTAACCCTAGTAGCTTAGCGCTTCGGTCAGCACTTCCTGTTTGTTTAAGAGATGCTCGTATTTTACGAATTGGAGCTCATAATTAATCTTGATATCACTATCGGTAGTTTTGTTATGTTAATTGATTCATTTATTTGTTATTATTTCGACGAATTTGGCTGGATTCGCTCGGCTACGAGGTATGAAATATGCGTTTTAAGAAACAAATGGTTGAAATTCGTGGACATGGGTTGATGTCAGATTTTAGAGTCTGTTTTGAAAGATCTTGACATTATTGACAGACGCTTGCACAATGTGATAATGAACAGTAGTCTGTCAGTAGTCTACGTCCAAGCGTATGAAATTCGTCTGCGCAGTTAACGTGCAGTCGCGAGCGGTACTGTAGTGCTTCGGTCAGCACCTTCTGCATGTTTGTTGAAGACATCTCTGTATTTGCCAACCAATTGCTTATTTGTAATAGTGGCCTAATTCATTTGGGCCTCCAAATTGGAAAGGTGTTTTCAAATAGTACAAAGCCAATTTTCTAGTTTACTCCTGGCTTGTTATGAATTTAATATGATACATTCCTTCATTTTGAGCCTAAGGAACAACTGATACATGTCCCTCTACTCCAGAAATACTGAAAACTGCTGCCTAGTCTTGAAGGTAGCAAAGGGAGGTTGTGTAGTGTGAGTGTTGTGGAATTGTGTGTGTTCGGCCCCTACTCCATTTGACTTTTAACCCTTAACACCCTAAGACATTGGTATTCATATTCTCCACACTGTTCTCTTTACATTTCCTATGGAACAGACAAGGAGAATTTATCAAAGAAGTATATTTGATTGTGAAGTAAATGGAAGAGTCAGTTTAGAACATTACAGCTACAAATGCAACAGTTATTTAATTAGTGTTTTAATTGATGAAAATCTTTCTTGGAAAAACCATGTTGACTGTGTTATCACCAAAATGAGTAGGAACATACAAATGATTGCTAAGTTGATATGCGTTATTACATCTTCTGTTGTCATTAATATCTGTAAATCCTTATTTTTACCTAATATATCTATATTAGACTCGCTGCTTGGAGCAATACATCTAAAACATATATTAAGTAAACAAATTTGTTGTTCTCCAAAAGTGCATATTGTGTTTAATTTGCTCTGCTGATAGAAAAGAACATGCTATCCCCTTATTTATAAATGCAAAAATTCTACCTATTACCATCTAATATTATGAAGCTGTATATAAATTAATGCTGAATATTGATAACAACAGAGCTTATTAGTGCACTTTCTAACATCATAAAATTTTTTATGGGAACATTAAACAATTATACCTATTTACTACCACTGCTCATCAATGTCACAAGTGCTTCAGGTTTCAAAATCTGGAATGAGATGCTAAATATCAATAGAAAGTTTTGTTGAAGAAATCCTTCAAAAAAGAAACAAGAAAGGTTTCTCAATATTCTAGAGACTGAAGATTCTTATTTCAAGCCTGATGAGATAATGTGTTATATAAATTCAAACACTGCAAAATTGAAACAAATTGTACTTGCAGTTGAAACAATATTTTTATTGTGCACTTAGATACTCAAGGACTTTTTATCTTTTACAATGAATGTCTTTCATTTTCCATTTTTTTTTCTTGTGTATCTTTTTTAATGTTTTTTTTTTTAAATGTATTATTGTCATATTAATTTTACTGTCAACAAAATCTGCTCAAAATTTTCAAAATTTTATTTTTTTAGAGAAATTAGTTTTAACTACTTAAATGGTTTATTTAAAAAAAAATTAAAAAAAAGAAGGTGAGATACAGCTGAAAGGATGTTTTAGTATAAGCCCGTATGAAGAGTGAAAGGTGTCATCATGGGAAATGCCTCAGACAGAGTGTGGACGTTTTCTGCAGGCTTTCATCCAGGATCCCAATTTGCATATGTTGTTTTCATCACATCTTGCACTGCACATTCACTGGGAATCTCTGGCCCATTTTGCAAAACATTGAGTAATGAGAGCCTTAAAGAGTTCACTAATAAGAGGGAGAGAGCTCAAGCCAAAGAAATTGAAGTTAAGTTGTTCATTTTCCAGAGCTTGCTTGTTAACTTTTGGATTATGTTTAACTCATGTTCCTGTTTCATGAAATGACCTTTCCAGCAAATTTCATTGGAGTTCTTTGTCAGTTAAGGCTTGCCACAGATTCCACATTGTGTCTCATTGTTCATTCATTTGACACTTGCTTTCTAAAAGGAGATGGGAAACTGTAAATTTCTTTGGTGGCCAAAAACTAGAAGTTTGTTATTATACAAGTTACCTGTACATTAATAGGATATGTAGATTTGTTGGACTTTTGTGAAAATTGGCTTGTATGTCCATTGGTAATTATCACACAAAAGTACATGAAGTTTCAAAGAAATTCTAAATATTTCTCTCATAATTCATTGGAGTTTGAAAACAACAGAAATATTTTCTATTGTCCAACTTCGCAATGTATTTTCTCAGGAAACAATAAGAATCTCAAAATTGCCTGACACACTTTGTTAGCCTATTATCTGCTGAGTGATACTGTACAGTTTGTTTCAAGGTCTGGGGTAACACAGAGGCTGGTAATTCAGTGATTGAGAAGCAAACACTATCAATGTTGCATTTAAATGCTTACATGCACATACCAAAACAAAAACTGTGAAAAATGTTATTTCCATAATCTGTACTTTATAAGCTTTACTGTGATGTATTTTTTTCTGTTGTAATCTGATCACATCTTTATCGTCAAATAAACAGATATCAAATATTGTGCATGTAAGTTTTCCCTGTACCTTTTCACTTCATCTTTGATTAAACTAGCCATGATCTACTGAAGATCTCTGTTAATAACAGTTTCCTTAATTAGTAATAGCACAAGTAGGAAGATTTTTCCAGAAGGCAGCCTATTTTGTTGACAGCAATCTTAAGTAAAAATTTGACCAGCCAGGATTTGCATCTGCTATCTGCAAGTTGAAAGAATATTTTGTATATTGAATATGAGAAAATAGATAAAGTGTGACATGAGAATCAGGAACTTTTTAAATTTTTGATGATCTCCTTTATTCTTGTGACCCATACATTTGATTCAAGGTTGATACTGTAAGGAGAAATTAGAAGCCAATCACAGCTCTTAGAGGTTAAAGGGTTAAAATGGAAGATGCAGCAAACTTATTTTATTGATCTGTTGCATGATATTTAACTCATTGTTTGAGTGCTGTAATATTCTGGTGTTGCAAAGTTAGAATAAAGTAATAATTTTTGTGTGTGCTCTATAAATGTCGCCTTCCAAGTATTAATTACAAGCATTTCTTTACAGAGGACTTGATTTCATGGCTTCTGCCACCCCATCACAACCTTCTACCAAGGAGACCTCTAATTATGCCCAGCTCTGTCGCCTTCTTGTTGAAGTTGGATCACTTATGCTAAGGGAGATCTTTGACCGGGTATGTCCACCAGAAAACCTTCATGCAGTTCTGACTAATCCCACAAACCATGCCAAACTACAAACATTGCGAAAGAAGAGAGTCCTGAGTACCTTCCAGTGGGGGAAACTGTATCCTGTCTCCAAAACATCAGTTTCCTCAGGGAACTTTGACACCTCCTTACTGCTATTTCTTCTGAGGAATATCTTTGGTCTGAATTTCCCTGCCTCTGGCCGGAATAACCTTCCTCCAGGATCAGACACCTCTCCAGAAGCTGACATCACTCGCATCAAGTTTTTCAGGGACAGAGTTTTCAGATATGCTGCTAATGCTTCAGTTGATGATCCAACCTTTAGTTTGTACTGGAACAACATCAAAGACACTTTTCTGCGTATTGGAGGGACCTGCTATGAGGAAGTCATAGATGATCCTACACTCCACTGTATGGATGCTGATCTTGAAGAACACTACCAAGAGCTTCTGAGAGAGTGGTTGAAAGATGATGACCATATCACAGACAAAGTGCATGGAGACAAAATTGTGAAAAAAGGCCAGGAAGGGAGGGGACATGGAGGATTCCTTTGACATTTCTGAACAAAATTCATGGGAGAGAGGTGTGTGTTATTCTTTTTTCAAACCTGAGTTTTAAATTAACTTAAATTTGTTGAGTCAGTAATGAAGTCATACTGGATTGTTAGATGAAATGAATTTCCAGCAGATTTTTTTAAAAGTCACAATTATGCATTATTGAAGTTGTGAATCTTTATTACCTTAAGCTAAGTCAACTGTTACATCCATAATTTGCTTTTTGTCTTCATCTTTTTATCTTTTGATTTTTATTTCAGTAATTGAAGTAACTTTCACATACAAAAACTACAACCTTCTTTTTTCAGAGACAGTATTAATGCCAGGGGAAAATACATCAGCAGAGAATGGCAATGGCAGCCCACCAGAGCTCAGTGTGAAACTTCCAAAGTTGTGTGATCTTCCAGCAATCTCTTCTTCTTGGGAAACTGTTGAACTTCCTGTTGATATTGTTTTATTAGCAGTGGAGGACTGTGAGTTCTTAAGTTGTTTTGCCTACCTAAAGGAACCCTTTAAGAGTTACCACATCAGCACTGGCCCTGTGTACTTTGGGTGCATGGGTGATGATCAAGGAAAGAAAATGAAAATTGCATTGATGAGGTGCTCCAAAGGTCCTGATGTTCCTCAGGGTTCTTTGTCAGTTTCAAAAGATGCCATCTCAGTACTGAGACCCAAGGCTATCTTTTCTGTTGGTGCCTGCAGTGGTTTGAATAGCAAAAAGGTCAAGTTAGGAGATGTGGTTGTTTCAGCAAAGCTGATAACAGCTGTATACAAAACTCCCCCCAGCAGAGATATTGGTAACCTGATCAAACATGTGGCTGATGGGTGGAAGGCACCTTTACAAAATGCTGATGAATATAATGCCAAAGTGCACTGTGATGGAGTGGTTCTGAGTATCTCAGAGGCAAACAGAGATATGATTAGGAAACATCCTGAAGCAATTGCAGTTGAAATAGAAGGTGGAGGTGAGAATCATAATAATTCAAATAATTGATGAGCCAAGCACTTTTGCACATGTAGCAAATGTTTTGAAAAACACTGCTCTGGTATTGTCTCTGCTGGTCCAAGCATACACCATATAACATGCCAAATTTGCAGGAATTGTGTATCTTGTATTTAAAGTGATTTGATGTTTGGCTGGGTGAGAAGATTATTTCACAAGTGAAGGTGACTGAGACTTCTTCTGGATAACTAGATTGAATTTGCTCCATTAGGATGTCATGAATTATTTTAAATTTGTCACATGAAAAATGTAGAAAGTATGTTGTTCAATAGTTTGAGAGTTGAGGAATAGTATCACAGTCCCTGTTAACCCTGAAACTCCCATGAGTGACCAAGATAGAATTTCTCCTTACAGTTTCAATATGATATTAAGCAGACAAGTAATGGGAAAAGAAAAAAGTGTGAATTAGGGGATTATTGGTTGATCCAAAACTAAATTCTCCTAACTAACATCATGGGAATTTTATGACATACATTAACCCTTTAACTCTTAGAAGTGATTAACATGTAACTTCTCCCTATAATATCCATACGTTATCCAGCAAACAGGTAATGAGAATACTGAAACTCATCAGGTAAAAGATAAAATTACCTTGATAAAACATCCAATTTTTTTGTAACCAATTTACAAGGAAATGTGTAGCAGCTAGAAGGGAGAATTAACAATCAGATCTTGGAGTTAAAGTGTTAAAGAGGATCATTAAAGAGATCTTAGGAGTGAAAGGGTTAACTTTAACTGACAAAACTTTGTCTTTTGAAAAATATTGAAAGTTACTTTATATGAAACAAGATGAAGCCTGAAGAATAGTTTTACAGTCTCAGTGTACAATTTTTTTTTATTACTGGTTGAAAAAAATTAGGTTTCTGTTCCAACTAATGTCTTTCTGCAATGTGCATGTTTACAACAGCAAGAGTGCAGCTAGAGTGTGACTCTTTGTGAGCTTTGATTGAACAATTACATGTATTTTAAAGATGCGAAGAAAATAAGCTTGAGATATAGTTAACAGACATTACTGTTTATTTGTTTTGTTTTTTAGGAGTGTATGCAGCAGCCCATGATTTTAAGACAGAATGGATGGTAGTCAAGGGCATCAAAGACTTTGTAGATGAAACGCACTCTTCAAGTAAGAAATGGAATGAAATTGCCTGTGTGATGGCAGCTTCTGTTGTGGCCAACATTTTGAATGATCCAGTCATATTCCAAGATTGGCCTCATTTTAATGCAGGTATTGCTTCCTGTCTCAATGTTTCTTTTTACAAGGATAGGTCTGACTTAGATCTAAGTTCCCTCAGCATATTTTTGTATGAATTATAAATCAACATGATTTAATTAGTAATAGTTGACAAAGAGGAAATTAAGTTACCCTTATTTTGAGTTTACATACCAGTAAGTGTCTAAAGGTGATGGGAGAAAAACTTGTGGTTAAATTGAGTGATGTAATGATGAATGACAATTCACTCCATGAGCCACGTGAACTGGCCTGTTTTCTATAGTTAGCTTGGATATGGAAAATTCAGAGGCTAATGACATCTGCCAAAGTGATTTGAAGTGATTTGATATATGTTCCTGGGCCAATAAGAAACAAATCAAATTGTTTTAAACTAAAAAAATTGATTAATCCAGTACTACATGTGTGACTGTATTTTGATGGTGAAACTATTGGAATGGAAAGGGAGGTGATAAATACCAGCACATATGTTTATGGTTCTGTTTTTTGTTGTTGTTGTTGTTGTTTTTTTTAACCCTTTATGGAACCTGACATGTTAGTAGATTGAGACAAATAAATCAGATTGTAGGTAAATTTCTTAAGAGCTAATGTCAGCATGCATCAAACAAACAGCGGCAAGTCACCCAAATTTGTTTCCCCTCCTTTTGTCCTTTGAATTTCTCTGTCACGCTTGTCACGCACTGATATAATAAGTTAGAGAAGATAAATAAACTGAAACTCAAATCTGGCTGGAACGTGGTAGAGCATGATTAACATGATCATCGAAACAGCTAATAAAATCATAAATAAACAAGGTAAGAGTGTTATGTTAGACTTTGTACCAATTGTCGTGATTTACGCCAATTAACGGTGGCGACAAGTAGGCGCACCATGTAGATTTCATAGTCGCTATCAAGTAAATTTTGCCGGACTTTGAGTTCGTCTCAAGATAGAACAACACAAATACACAAGGAAATTTTTACAGTAACTTTATAACCATCCTTTGGTCTTTTAAAAGCATGCAGCTCAGTAGATTGTGTCATATCAGTCATTGTTAAAACTGTCTTTGTTTTGATGCTACTTTTCGACATAGGAAAAGTATGTCGGACAAAAATATTCACCAAAAAATAAATATTTCTTTGGCAGCTTCAATAACGATAGGGGATTAAGTCTAGATGATAAAGCAAAGGCTTATGTTCACAGAAATACCGGAGGTCTAGTACATTCATTACATGAAGTCACATAAGGTCGAAAAATGAGGTCGTTCACCTCATGTGAAAAATTAAGAATTAAACCCAAATGTCCACACTGTGTTTTCATCGGCAGTATCTTTGTCTGTTCGTGGGTACTCGTGTACAACTGCTGGAGTGCACTTTTGTGATTTCTAAGCGTCTTATTGAGTTTGATCTGTTCAGAATCGAGTAGATATTGACATAGGTATCATTGTTTATCTGCACGTTTATGTGAATTTGTGATGTAAATGTGCTTATGAAATTGCGCTTATCTTTCTTACTAATGCAGATTCGCTACGTGACCTCAGAGACACAACTGATAAGACAGAGATTGAAATGAAGGAGGTTAAAGAGACGCTTTGTAGCCTGACGACCACAGTGGAGAAAAGCACAGATGAAGGTTGGTTGCTAGAAATAGCTACTCACAGATAAACTGAACTATCAATAGGGATTCCGTTCCGTTAACTTGAGTACACTTTTCAGGTAATGTATTGTTATAAGAGCACGCCTTGGCTACTAGGTTAAACCTAAATGAAGATACCAGGTAATGTGTGGGATGAATGGGATGGCACGGAATCTCAGGTTACCTCTCAGATTGGATAGCTTTCTGACATCACTCATACACATTTGGCCGAGAAGGGTTATTACCTTATTTTAGTTTTACTTTTGTTAAGGACATAATGAATCTAACTTCCTAATTCGTTAGATTTTACCTGCATATTCTTGAACAGACTAATGCAATCCCTCCTCCACTCAAATTTTTTGTAGAGTATTCCATTTTACATGGAAAAAATTTCTGAATGAGGGCTGTGTTAGTAAAAGGGGCAGGAGAAGGCGTATGTGGTTATTTTAATTTTCCTGAGCGAAAAACTGTGAACGAAACTTCACAATGCATTGCAGCCGGACCTCTGGTTTGTTCCAGCGTTTTCCTTTTTCTATGATTAAACGACGTGAAAACGAGGGCGGAAAAGCGTTCTTTTTTTTTTAAATTAGTTCCTACAATGGTCTTTTTTTACCGACAAAAATCTTACTCAGACTATCGACTCTAATGATATCAAAATTTATCTCCCGAGTTTCACTATCAGAAACCGCTATAGCCGAGCCATAAGTTTTTTTTTTCGAATATTGTATAAAATTTAAAAACAACAACAACAACAGAGGAAGGAAAAGGATCTATTTAGTTAACTTTTAATGAATAAAGTGACTCTCACTCGGACTAAAAGTTCCAATGTTATTCCACGAAAGGGTCTGTTGAGAAAATGATAAAGATGGACAGCGAACTGAAAGAAGTGAAGGAAAAGCTGTGTACTTTGACAGCCTCAGTGGGAGAAAGCAAGGATGAAGGTCAGTTGAATTACACAATAAAAGTTATCCTGCTTAACCGCAAATTTCGCCGTAGTCAACATGGCCTGTATGTGAGAGAGGTATAGATCATCCTATGTTAAAGAGATTCAGTTTTTCAATTTAGACAATCTCTGGAATAATCTCTACGGTGTGCTTTCATTCCCTCCAATTGTTCAAACTTTCACCCGTAATTAGCCTGGAAAACTTTATATTTTGATTAGAGTGGAGAACGAAATAAAAAGAAGTACAGTTTTAACGAAAACATTGGCATTAACATTGGCTCGATGTTAGAAATTAACAGAGCAGGTTCCACTGCATTTACAAGCCAAATAGCTTTTGGTCAGTAAATTGACATGAATCATACATTGATACCTTTTTCATCGTCCAAGTAATTTCTTTGGCAGTGGTGTCGTATTCTCGTTCGCTAATTTAAATTCAGTGCCGAATACCTAGTAGCATTAGATGTAATCCGCATATTTCTGAATAAAATAACTAAACCCTTCCTGCGCTCATATTGTGGAGTATTCAATTCTACATGGGAAAATAGTTGAATGAGGATCGTCTTGAGTAAAATAGGTTCCTAAGGAAAAGACTGTAGGAAAAACCTCCCACTTCATCGCAGGCGAGTCCCCGGTTTTTGCAGCTTTTTGATGAAACCGCGTGACAAAGAAGGCACAAAGGCGTCGTTTGGTTTCCATTTATTTGTTCGTAGTCTCGGTATATCCCGAAAAAGCCTTTCTCAGACTACGGCTCCAATGATATGAATATTTATCTCCCAAGTATTTTATTTTACGACAGAGTTTCACTGTCAGCCGAACAAACAGAGTAGGTTTACCTCAATTCATAATCTAAATGGCTTTTTAATCAGTAAGCATGAATCATACACTAAAAGCTTTTTGCATCGTCCAAGTAATTTCTTTGGCAACGGTATCGTACTCATTCACTTATTTACATCCAGTGCCGAATACCAGAGAGGCACCACAATTTTTAATGCTGCATTCATTAGATTTCTTACTTATTTTGCTACTGCTAGGTATTTTTGATCCGACTGAGCTTATCAATGGAATTCGCCAGCTTTACAAGACTCGCGAGGGATGGCTCTCACCATTTCCATGGTGTGAAGAGTTTCAGTTTTTTCTTGGAAATATTTTTACACGGCTCAAAGTGGTCAGAAGAAAGAAAACGAGAGGAGAAATCACTGACGTATTTGTTGAGATGTCGTCAATACTAGACCCGTATGAAGAGTGTTCAGCGCCGAGAACAGTGTTGATTGAAGGAGAACCTGGTATGGGAAAAACCACCTATTGTAAAAAGTACGCCTACGACTGGGCCACAAAACAGCAAGAACCTCAGGGCTGCGGCTCAACAGCATTTAAAGTGGTATTGTTACTGAAATGTCGAGATATCCATTCTGACTTTTGGGAAGCTATTGATGATCAGCTTTTGCCCCGAGACATCGATGAAGAAGTCAAACAACAATTCTTTCATTTTATTCGTGAAAATCAGTCCAGCATTTTATTGATATTGGATGGATTGGATGAGTTACCGTCCAGTAAATTGTCGATGTTTTCCGAATTAATTGAAGGAAGAGTGCTCCCCAAATGCCACATAGTTGCAACAGCAAGACACGAAGCTGGAAAAGAGGTGAGAAAATGTTGTGACGTGCTGCTTCAGATCGAAGGATTTACTGAAGAGCATGTGAAAGGATTTGTCACCAAGTACTTTAAAGAAAGGACGGATTTAGCCACCAAGCTCTCGCAACGGATGTCGCGAGATAAAAACCTGAGAGAAATAGCGGCCAATCCTCTAAACACAGCACTTCTTTGCCTTTTATGCGAAGAGTTTGAGGGCACACTCCCCGAAAGCAGAGCTCAACTGTACTTGGATATGGTTGAATGTGTTTTGAGAAGATATAGAAAAAGGAAGGGACTACTAGAAAAGATCGAAGATTTGACAAACCATTACAAACCGCAATTGAATCACCTTGGAAAGGTAGCGTTGAATGGTTTACTTGACGATAAGTTGGATTTTAATGAAAGTGAATTGAGAAACCATGCAAAAGACCTGACTGAATTTGGATTTCTGTCAGTGCAGCCTGGTGGCAGCAAACTGAGACAAACACTGCACTATGCCTTCTTACATAAAAGTTTTCAAGAATTCTTTGCAGCATTCTTCATTTATTCTCAGATTCAAAGCAAGGAGATGAAACCTGAAGAACTAGTTTCCGATCCAAGGTATTTCGTTGAACTTAAACAAATACTTTTGTTTTCATGTGGAATTTTGGCCATGAAATGCGATGAACAGGTTGTGGCTCTTGTAAAGAGTTTAACAAATAAAGTCAACAAAAATGAAGGCCGTGGTGCAAAAATTGTATTGGAGGCCATCAACGAATGCAAAAGAGAAAAAAGTGATTTTCACTCGCATTTATTGAAGTCGTTTGGAACTGGATTGAATCTGACCAATTTGGATTTGTCTGACAATGGTATTAGTGATGCGAGTGCTACATGTATTGCTGAGGCAATCAAAGTGAACAAGACGCCAACCAATTTGTATTTGTCTTCCAATGGTATTAGTGATGCGGGTGCTACATGTATTGCTGAGGCAATCAAAGTGAACAAGACGCTAACCAATTTGGATTTGTCTTGGAATCGTATTAGTGCTCCGGGTGCTACATGTATTGCTGAGGCAATCAAAGTGAACAAGACGCTAACCAATTTGGATTTGTCTATCAATGGTATTAGTGCTGCGGGTGCTACATGTATTGCTGAGGCAATCAAAGTGAACAAGACGCTAACCAATTTGGATTTGTCTTACAATGATATTAGTGATGCGGGTGCTACATGTATTGCTGAGGCAATCAAAGTGAACAAGACGCTAACCAATTTGGATTTGTCTTACAATGATATTAGTGCTGCGGGTGCTACATGTATTGCTGAGGCAATCAAAGTGAACAAGACGCTAACCAATTTGGATTTGTCTTACAATGATATTAGTGCTGCGGGTGCTACATGTATTGCTGAGGCAATCAAAGTGAACAAGACGCTAACCAATTTGTATTTGTCTTACAATGATATTAGTGCTGCGGGTGCTACATGTATTGCTGAGGCAATCAAAGTGAACAAGACGCTAACCAATTGGGATTTGTGAAATAATGGTATTAGTGATGCGGGTGCTACATGTATTGCTGAGGCAATCAAAGTGAACAAGACGCTAACCAATTTGGATTTGTCTATCAATGGTATTAGTGCTGCGGGTGCTACATGTATTGCTGAGGCAATCAAAGTGAACAAGACCCTAACCAATTTGGATTTGTCTCGGAATAGTATTAGTGATGCGGGTGCTACATGTATTGCTGAGGCAATCAAAGTGAACAAGACGCTAACCAATTTGGATTTGCGAGATAATGGTATTAGTGCTGCGGGTGCTACATGTATTGCTGAGGCAATCAAAGTGAACAAGACGCTAACCAATTTGGATTTGTCTTACAATGGTATTAGTGCTGCGGGTGCTACATGTATTGCTGAGGCAATCAAAGTGAACAAGACGCTAACCAATTTGGATTTGCGAGATAATGGTATTAGTGCTGCGGGTGCTACATGTGTTGCTGAGGCAATCAAAGTGAACAAGACGCTAACCAATTTGGATTTGTCTATTAATGGTATTAGTGCTGCGGGTGCTACATGTATTGCTGAGGCAATCAAAGTGAACAAGACGCTAACCAATTTGGATTTGTCTTGTAATCGTATTAGTGATGCGGGTGCTACATGTATTGCTGAGGCAATCAAAGTGAACAAGACGCTAACCAATTTGGATTTGTCTTACAATGATATTAGTGATGCGGGTGCTACATGTATTGCTGAGGCAATCAAAGTGAACAAGACGCTAACCAATTTGGATTTGTCTTACAATGATATTAGTGCTGCGGGTGCTACATGTATTGCTGAGGCAATCAAAGTGAACAAGACGCTAACCAATTTGGATTTGCGAGATAATGGTATTAGTGATGCGGGTGCTACATGTATTGCTGAGGCAATCAAAGTGAACAAGACGCTAACCAATTTGGATTTGTCTTACAATGATATTAGTGCTGCGGGTGCTACATGTATTGCTGAGGCAATCAAAGTGAACAAGACGCTAACCAATTTGGATTTGTATTACAATGATATTAGTGATGCGGGTGCTACATGTATTGCTGAGGCAATCAAAGTGAACAAGACGCTAACCAATTTGGATTTGCGAGATAATGGTATTAGTGCTGCGGGTGCTACATGTATTGCTGAGGCAATCAAAGTGAACAAGACGCTAACCAATTTGTATTTGTCTGAATGTGGTATTAGTGATGCGGGTGCTACATGTATTGCTGAGGCAATCAAAGTGAACAAGACGCTAACCAATTTGGATTTGCGAGATAATGGTATTAGTGCTGCGGGTGCTACATGTATTGCTGAGGCAATCAAAGTGAACAAGACGCTAACCAATTTGGATTTGCAAAGCAATGTTATTAGTGATGTGGGTGCTACATGTATTGCTGAGGCAATCAAAGTGAACAAGACGCTAACCAATTTGTATTTGTCTAACAATGATATTAGTGATGCAGGTGCTACATGTATTGCTGAGGCAATCAAAGTGAACAAGACGCTAACCAATTTGGATTTGTCTTACAATGATATTAGTGCTGCGGGTGCTACATGTATTGCTGAGGCAATCAAAGTGAACAAGACGCTAACCAATTTGGCTTTGCGAGATAATGGTATTAGTGCTGCGGGTGCTACATGTATTGCTGAGGCAATCAAAGTGAACAAGACGCTAACCAATTTGGATTTGTCTAACAATGGTATTAGTGCTGCGGGTGCTACATGTATTGCTGAGGCAATCAAAGTGAACAAGACGCTAACCAATTTGTATTTGTCTGAATGTGGTATTAGTGATGCGGGTGCTACATGTATTGCTGAGGCAATCAAAGTGAACAAGACGCTAACCAATTTGGATTTGCGAGATAATGGTATTAGTGCTGCGGGTGCTACATGTATTGCTGAGGCAATCAAAGTGAACAAGACGCTAACCAATTTGTATTTGTCTGAATGTGGTATTAGTGATGCGGGTGCTACATGTATTGCTGAGGCAATCAAAGTGAACAAGACGCTAACCAATTTGGATTTGTCTGAATGTGATATTAGTGATGCGGGTGCTACATGTATTGCTGAGGCAATCAAAGTCAACAAGACGCTAACTTAAACAACTTTGAAGTAAAAGGGCACTGCCTTTAAAGTAGGCAGGTTCCCTTGAAAATTGAGGGCCGAAGGCCCGAACCTCTGGGGGGGTCCGGGGGCATGCTCCCCCGGGAAATTTTTTAAAAGATAAGTCTCCCAGAAACGCATTTTCCTGCAATCTGGAAAAGAAATCTTGTTGCAATGATGCATACTTAATCTATCATAATAAAAAAGAATGGTACTCTGGGAGAATTTGTTTATTTCACTGTTGTTTTCGGAGCCTCTTTTTATCCTACAGTTACAAGTTAAAGGCCCATTTTCAACCTTGATGCAACGCCTTTCAACCTTGACGCGACCCAATTTCCTGTAACACGGAATTCCCAGATCACTAAAAACCTTCTAAAATCGTCTTTCTCAAGAGCCACCCTGAACACGCTTGGAGCTCTTCGTACTCTATGAAGAGTCGGCGAAAAGGACAATAATCAAATGTTTTCACTTTTTAGAAGCGCTTGAGGATTCTAAATGAAAACAAAATACTTCCAATAGAAACTGGTATTTTCCAAAGAGAAATATGGAAAAATATCAGACTGCCGGACGTCTAGTTATTTAAAGACCGTGTCCGGTAGTGTCTGGTGAAAATTTTGTTAGTGTCTTCGCACTCTGTGTACAAGGCCAGCGAAACGGACAACGTCGGCATTTTTTCACTTTTTAGAAGCGCTTGAGGATTGTAAATGAAGGTAGAATATTTTCCAATGAGAAATTAGCATATTTCAAAGAGAAATATGGAGTTATTTGAGGACCGTGTCCAGCCGTATCAAGCGCTTGGATGGCTTCGTACTCTGTGCAAAATGCAGACTACGGACCGCAGACCGGGTACAAAATGCAGACTGAGAATTTGTACTGTTTTTTCGTCTGATACGTGATAACATGGCATCTTACAACTTACCGAGCGTCACGCAAGTGCTTTTCCGCGATCATCTTTCGCGATTATTTGCTCTATTGTGGAATATTCCTTGCCTGTCTCTTGATCACAATCGTTCTTAATTTTTTTCAAGCCTCGTTTAGTATTCTCATTTTCCGCGCGAGTTGGTTGGCGTGATGTCTTTACAGAATTTACCAACTTACTAAAAGTAGATGTGGATGTAAATGGATGCCACTATTGAATATTTAACCTGCGCAATATTCGAGAAATTCATCTTTTTAACCGATATGTGTTCATTTTGCTGACAAAAATGCGAACCAAGACCAGAACTTTTCTTTCGACTTGATATATTTTCAACGTTCAGAAGTGTACACATACTGATTTCCCCTTAGTGTCTTATATTGTCATTGGTTTTCATGAGAAACCGGAGAATTTTTATAGGGAAAAGCCAAGCGTTGCCCTCGTGACTGGCCATTTGTTAACTTTTTTGGTGGTTTTATCTCTCGTTGGTTTGGTGACTACGTAAATATTAATATGTGAAAATCAGATTAGATGAAGACTTGAAATTCTATTAGGAACGATTGTGGCCGCTTTGTTAAAAATCAAATGCAACGACCGCTTTGTTTAAAACAAAAGACATCAAGAAACGGGCAAGGAATATTTAATAGATAATTATTGCGGCAGTCAGCGTTATGAGATATATTGCAGCCAACTGAGGGCGTAGTCTGCCTAATGACCTCTGCCCATCCCACCTCCAGCCCACACAAACTTTTTTCCGATCCCCATCACTACGAATGCACAAGTTTTCTTATCACACAACTGCCCAAAAATAAAAGAAAATTTATTCCAAAAGTCTGGAAAGTTCACATAAACCGAATTCATCTGCACCTATATTCAGCAAGTCCAAGAAATCAATTCAAAGCTAAGCCATAACATGAATGAGCTGGCTCCAAGAGCCCTTTGATTTTCATTACTTCAAAGTTTCGAGCGTCTCTCTTTCATTAAAAACCAAGACAAAAAACATTCATAGGCATTGTTTTTTTATTTCTGTTGCGAGCTGCAGAGCCATTCAATGAAATTTGATCACTGAAAGCTCCCTGAACGGGAGGTTTGTGGGGTGGGGGGATTGACAATAGGGGGGAGGTGGGGACACAATAGGGGCGAGGTAAACAAAGTTGTTGTGGATAACTCTAAAATGGTAATGTGTGCCGGCGGATGCCTACTTCCGCAAAGGCCTAGTACTTAATGACGAGTCAGAAGAGCCCCAGATATGAAGAGATGATTGTCGATTTCTTACCTGTTTCAAGACCTTGGGGAAATTAGCTGGCTGCAGGAAGATCAGGATTGGCACCAACTATAAATTCTTTCATCGAAAGATTGGTGGATAGAACTTGGTCCAACAGACTTTAAACAACTCTTATAAAATTTTCTTATATCCTTACGAAGGAGCTCTCTTAAATATAGAGCTAATAAAGTGTTTTCACTTATCACGTTTATTCAATTAAACACCGCGGCGTTTATTAAAATTTTCGTGATTCAAGTGCGATGTTTATTCGAGGGCGGCGTTTATTTAAAATTCAATTTACTTTTTGCAAACAATAGTATGGTAACTGACCATTTTAATTGTAAAAAACAAAAACACGTTCTAGTGCTTATCCTCAATTTCACAATCTGCGTGTTAATACTACTGCAATACTTAATGTGAAATAAAGTGAACATAGTTCACCCAATTTCAATGTCTCTGTCCTCTTCATGATCCGAATCCAAAAGATATAATGACGGATGTGCTCTCTCAAAATCAGAACCGGTACATTCAAAGGGATTTGTGCCTTGCTTACTCAGAACTTGCAACTGCGATAGAAGCAATAATCGTGCACTGCTACAAGGCTGTCGTTCCTTGGGGCAGTGAATCATGTCGTCCACGGGAAGGTACAACATGCAGCTCGAGAGGGTTTTTTTTATTACCTCTGTGGGTAGCTCTGCTCAAGAATCAAGAATTCACTCCAAAATGGTACTTTTCGGGGATAATTTCAAATTTCAGCAGCTGTTTCTTCGTGAATTCCCACGGTACCAAGCCAATCATTCCTTTTAAGTGCAAGTGGCCTTGAACGGCTTGTTCCAAGAAACGTCCGGTGCCTGGATATACTTGGTGGACCCTTCTGGCACTATTACTTGATCGATTTTTTTTCCGACTGCAATAAGTAAGCAATACTATCTTCAGTTTTGCAGTCGAAGAAGTTCCAGGCTAATAGTAATCAACCACCAACCTGTATTTCATTGCCCTAGGGCCTGTTTACATGAATGTGGGGGACCCCAGGTAGTTGAGGTGACCCGCCTAACCGTGGGCTAAAAATAGCCAGCGTTTACATACAATCTTACAACCCCGGGATGCCAGGATGAAGTTTCTCGAGGTTGTTATCACACTTGCAATTAAGGAGTTTAAGATGTCACTAGGACGTGTCGTAAAAACGTTGCAGAAAAAACGCAATTAATTTTCCTCTAAGATTTTGGCCGATAGCTCGATGCGTTAACCGTTTCTGACAGTACAACGTCTTCACTTTGGCATAACGTGTGAATGTAGTGTTGAGTTAAAAGTAAAAACGTGACTAAATCGCTGTCGAGGTTTTATTGCTAAGTGGATGTAAAAATTGATGTTTTAACGTTTTAGCTCTGCATGGGAAGACCAAGAAATGTACAAAGTCTTAACACACTCGTGTTTCGCTGTTGTTTTCCTTATTTGATCCTTTTTTAACATGAACGGCGCCCCGCGTGGGCGGGTTAACCGACCTTGAGACGTTTACATGGCAATGTTGCCCCCTTGCTGACAGGGTTACCCTACCCAGTAGACTGGGCAACCCGCCTAGACGAGTCGCCCCACCTATCATGTAAACGTGATCAAGATGAAATAATAGATTATATGGACAGGCGGGTTACCCAGCTAGGCGGGTTACTTCACCTATCTGGGGCTCCCCATCTCCTTGAAAACAGTCCCTCAGTGGTCATCGGTCTGCTTTTTTGAGTCTATTATTCGAATAAGAGTCGCGTAATGATTTGGCATTTATTCGGGGGCGGCGTTCATCAATATTTTTCCTTTAAAATACGGCAGTTACTCGAGGGTGTTTCATCGAATATAACGTAAACCGACATCTCCGAACTCATATAATGCTCATAAAAAATTGATCGATTCTAAAATAGAACAGGACAGTTGTAAATGCATTTTGACCCTCTCGATGAGCAGTTTGGTGTACTGTTAAACATGATTCATTTCTGTGTGATTTGTTGAGGACCGACATCTTTCAGTGTACCAATCTCAATCAGCGAAATAGACCAGTTTGTGCGTACGTATACACTATAGTATATGAAGAAGCCTAGAACTTAAGAGAAGTCAGTAATTTTCAAGAATCCGGTGACACAAGCAAAAATTCAACTTTTTTTGTTTGCTCCAAAAGACCCTTTTGGTGAATTGTTTTCAAAAATAATATTCAAAAGTTCCAGCGAGTTTTTATTTTGGCAAAAAATACGAAAGTTCGAAATCGGCCAAAACGTACCTAATTTGCATAATTTATATCGGGCTTTCAGTGCATTTTCACAACGCTCGTACTAGACAACGAAAAATTATCTTGGATTCATTTTTTTCATCCCTTGGAATAGCTCTCCAACTATATTTCCTCTCCAACTAAACTTTCTTTCGTTTGTAACCACCCGCGTAAAGTACATTATATTTTGTATTCCGTTTGTACGCTGAATTTTGCCATATTTCAGACGACAATAACATCGGGGGTATACGAATGTACGCAAAATAAAAGAGCTCTTTTCAACGAGCAATTTTTCATGTTTATCATGTAAAAACATTATTTTTGGCCCGTGAAAAGCGAGCGCACCAGACCAAAATATACAGCGTGCATTTTCACGGAGTTCGGCTATTTTCTTTGCTGTATTCCTACTGC